TTTTTTTAAGTGCAATAATATCCCTTGCCATTCCCTACTGTAGATATAAATAATGAGCTTTCATAGTATGGAAAATGATTGCCAGTTTCAAAAAAAAAAAAAAAAAGGAAAAAGGAAAGTTTCATCCATTATCTTTATTAAAGATTTGAAACCTAAACCAACTTTACCTCTCTAAATGAAATGGCACTAAGAAGATTAGAAAAAAAATTTATGAGAAAATAACACTCAGAAGCTTTGCCTTTCATTCTGTTGTATAACATGGAATATTTGCACTAATTGCATAACTAAAGGCAAAGAAATATTTCTTAAAGACTATAAAGAAATTTAATTATATTTTTTTATCAAAGTAATATTTTGTATAGTTCAAAGTTTAATTAATTATACAAAACTAATCATTAATAGGTGAATGACCAAATAAAATCTTTGATAAGGATGACTCAGCTGTCCTCTTCTACAATTATTACTTTTTTTGCAATCGAAACATGGTCTAGACTCTAGAGTTCAAATTAAAAAAAAAAAAAAAACACACACACACACACACAGACACACAGACACACGCTCTCTCTAAATCTATATCTCATTCATTATATTTCATTGATAAATAGTTGTGATCCCTCAGTTTTGTTCGAACCTTTCATGCATTTTTTGACAAACAGAGCTTGACATGTAGAACCAGAATGCGACACCCTGCTTTCGTCTATTCTATTTTTTTAAGGATCAAGGGGTTGGAATTCAAAGACAAGTTCCAACACCTCCTTAACCTTTGTTTGAGTTCACGCACGTTGCTCATTGGCCAAAATGGGAGAAAATCTCACTTGAGCCTTCAAACATCCAAAATTTGACCCTTAAAGCCTCATCTTTCTAACTCTTCGCATTTTAATCCCATTTTTTTAGTTCTCTCCATTTAATCATCAAACCTTCAATCATTAAAATCTATACAATAAATAGAATGAACATTTATAAAATTATTAGAATGAACATTTATAAAATTATTTACAGAAAAATACCACTTTTAAGCTCATTACTTTACAAATGTCAATTATCAAGTATATTTTAAATATATATTTTCATATTTTCATCAATTATAAATTATTATTAATTAATTTTAGTTAGAATCTTGACCCTTCACCCCTTAGTTTCATTGATACATTCATTGTGTCTATGGATAGTTAATGAGAAGGAAAGGAAATTTATGTTGGAAGAACTCAAACTTTAAGATTAAATTTAATATTAAACTCAATGGTGCAATGAAGATTTATTTTCATGTAATTGTAGTGAGATTAGTTAAAAGATTAAATATGAGTTGTCATCTATCATACAATTCTAAATTAAAAATAATGTAAAATAAAATCATATTCCCTCTCTCTCTCTCTCTCTCTCTCTCTCTCTCTCTCTCTCTCTCTCTGAGTCATTTTCTCTTTAATAAATTATTATCATAAAAGCTCTATATTTTGTAGTATGGACTATACTAAACTAAAAAATTAGTCTTTGGATGGGGAAGTAGGGCCCAATATCAAGGAGGCCTCCCCATTTAAAAGGTAACTGATTAGAAAACATTTTTTGTTATCATAATGCACTCAAATAATTATAAGGGTATTGTTTACACCCAATTTTGCAACAAATAGAATAGTTCCATATATCGTCCATGTCGATAGGTACTTTGTTTGTTGAAAAAATGTTTTGTTGATTCAATAGTTGTTTCCATGTCATCAACAAAACTGTTCATTTGTTACGAATTTCCAACAGCAAAATCGGCATCACCAACAAGTTAATCGATTTGTTGTAGATTTCATGTTATCGTTGGTTTTCAACATGCTATCATAGATCTTTAGCATGCTGTTAAAAGGTGTTTACTGTTATAAATACACCAAGATGAAATCAAGTAAGAAAGACTTGCCTCTCACACAACAAGCTAAGCAATATTTCTTTTAATGCTCAAGTTCATTTAAATTTCAAATCCCTTAGTTTAGTTTTAGCTCTATACTTCAGCTTACATCAGTCTTTAACCTTAGTTTAATGTCTTTTCCTTTACAAATCCTAGAAATTAGTTATAATTCTCTGAGGAAGCAATTCAATTAACCCTTTGTTGGTTTCGTAGTGGTAAGATTTGCTATCTTTAATGATAGTTCTTTGTAAGCAGATTGCTTCCTTCCTTTTATTGTTTCCTAATTTCTTTTTAATTAATTAAGTGATGTCAATATCCAATTTCATATTCTATTTTATTTCTGTTAATTTATATTTCATGATGCTAGTAGAATTTTCCATGTTCCTAGCTTCATTTACTTTAACTTAATTTGTTTTTCGATATTTAGATTTTTCATTTAAAAGCTTTATTTTAACTCATTCTGCACATTTAAAATTCATTAAGATTTTTAGTAGATTGGTGATCATTTACTTTTCTTTCAATCTTAGCTCTTCTCAATTATATTAGTTTAGATGAGTCCTTGGAGACATATCTAAGGTATGTTATCGTTTAACCTATTTAGTGTAAGAAGTTCATCCCTCGTTTCTACCAATTGTCTGATCATTAAGGCACAATCTAGGATGTTTTTCCACCAACTCATGATTGAGTTCCACGCTTGGGAAAAGGAGAGGGTCATCAGAAAAATCTTTCTTGTTTTGAGTAAAGCAACTGATATATTGTTTCACCTGCCACATATCAAGAAGATTTTTTGGGATAACAATCTCTTAGGGGCACGCTTGGTAAAACCTCTTACTAGTACTCACATATCAAGAAAAGTTTTTTAATCTTTTTTTTTTTTTTTTTTGCTTTTCCTGGGCATAAAGCAGCTATAATCATGCCTAGGAGAGTTGGAAAAGAAGCTGCATAGCAAGTGGAAATCGCCCCTATGAGTCCAGTACATTTTGAAGCTGAAAATAGTCCAAAACATCTTCCTCCCATTTCTGCCTTTGCTAATCGCTTATACAGCCACGCTTATACAGCCACCCCCTGTATGGCAATGATGATGAGGAGAAGGGTGATTCTGCCAAGTCAAGCAACCAAATATCTCAAGAGCTTTAGCTGGTAAGAAAATTGCAAGAAGAAGCTAATCAGAGCATAATACTTGGTCTAGAAAATGAGGTCCCCAAACTTGAAAATTTTTTAAAATACTTGCCTTAAAAGTTAAAACTTATCTTTTTATCAATATTTTGAAAAACTACAACTCAATGAAAGTTTTATATTAATAATAACTAGAGTTTTTATATAGAAGTGTTATAAATATTAAATTAATATACATAATTTATATAAATAAAACTTTCAATTTAACAGATGATTTTTAAAATATTAATTAAAATATGAGTTTTTAAACAAATTTTCCAAAAACTTTTTGAGAGAATGACTTGCTTTATATTAAATATAATTTATATATTCTCCAAGATAGTTATACTCGTAATGTGTATACAATATGCATGTACTTCATATTAGAAAAAAGAAACAAAAAGTAAAACCATATTCAAGGTATTATATTCATAAGAATCTCATATTTTACATTATGAACCATACCAAATTGGATGGAGGAGGGTTCTCCTCACATTCAATGATAAGTGTTGTGCAATTTAATACAGTTCAAATTGCACAATATTTTTCAAATTTATAATTAAGAGTTTTTTCTCTCTATTGATGAGGCTCGTCAGTAGGACAAAAATTTTAAACCTACATTCAAGCTTTTTGTTTTGAGTTTCATTCTTTTGGTTTCTTCAGTGATAGGGTGTTGAGGAAGGAAGTCTTGTTGGGGAGGAGGGAAGGCTTGGCTGTGGGGGTTGGAAATGTTGGGAGTGTAGCTAGAAGTGGCACAATGGGAAATCATTGTGCTCGATTGCTCCATGGATAAGCTACGGAGTTGGTTTTGTGGGCTGTATGTGAGAGGTGGAACTTCAATTGTTCGAGGATCGATGCTGTTGGAAGGGGTGGGTGGTAAGGCAGTGGACTTGTGCCTAACATTTTAAATGTTAGGACCTTGAGGTCTTTGATTTTTTGTTAAGGACTATCTTTAATATTTGGATAAAGTACAAGAATTATTATGAATAACTTTCTTTTTATCTTGGTTTTTTACCTTGGTTGCACAATGAGAAACAATTATCTTTGATCCCTTATTTCACTCCACCCACATGTCATGTAATTCAAACTCAATAAATTTTTTGATAGGAACATAGGATTATGAGTGAAAATAATCTGTTGCAGCAAGTGATAATCTATTTTTTTGATGATAGCTAGTAATAATTTCTTTATGGCGAACTAGAAAGTACTACAAGTTGTCGACTCAATTAAGGGATGAAAAATTATTAGCTCTCTTTCTATGCTTGAAATTATAAGGGGAAAAACTTATATTATTGAATTACCAAACAGCTTATAACAGATCCTCCTCCAATGAAAGTTCAAAGACTTGAACTTGAGCACTAGACGTGCTAGAGGAGTGAGGTTAAGATACATTATAAGTTATATATATTCTTTTAAAGTCAACAAAAATGATATAATTATAATATATAATATTATAAATTTATAATATAATGTTAAAAAACTCTTTTCACACTTAAGGTTTAATTGTAATATTATATGTACATATTTATTTAATAATATGATATATTTATTAAATATTATGTAAAATTATATATCATATTATTATTATAAATTTATAATGTTATTATTTTTAATTTAAATATAATTTAATAACAATTTTTGTTTAAAAATCTTAAATTTCAATTATATAACACGTAAATAACATGCATAAATGATTCACGTGCTTCATCATTGAGGGAGGTCACCACATTTGGGATCAAATCTCTAATTGTTAACAACTAATAAAACTAATCTACTAACCATTGTATTTGTCTGAAAAAAAAAAAAAAAAGCAGCATGCATAGAAGTATAGAAGAAAGATTTCCTTTTTTTATTATATAATTATGATAAAAGAATAAAAAATAAAAAATAAATAAATAACTTAACAGTGGATAACGTTGGTCTTGCTGTTTCACTTAAGTTTCTCCGACAATACCGTCATGTTCAATTTCAATCTGTCCTAAGTTCTCCATGGCGTCCTTTGTTCCTCTCTGTCACCTCACTCACAGCTTCTCCAATCCGCAGGTTCCAATTTCTCTCTCTATGTTAATCTATTTCCCTTTGCTTTCCTTAAATTCTCTAATTTGTGTTCTTTCTATTTATGTATGTAAATTAATTCAGCTTCTCCAGCAATACAATGGGTGGTCGCCTGGGCCCAGATGTCCATTCAACACTCACACTAAGACCAGAATCAGACCCATCAAAGCTTCATTGGGGACCCCTCCATTTCCTCTCTTTCAGCCTCCTCCAGTTCAAGAATCTTCTTCTCAGGTATAATATACCCTATGTTTGGTTGTCCGGAAAATTTCAAGGAGAACTGTTTTCATCAGTAAATTTTCATCTTGTGAAGCTGAAGAAATCACTTTGGCTTTTAGTTTCTTAAAGTAAGATACTTCATAATTTTGGTTCCCAATGTAAAGAAAGTTAGTCTCCTCAAAATGTGACCCAGTGGTACCTACCTTTATAGAAGCAATTGGCTAGGCTTTGTAAAGCTGTGATTTTTGCTTATCCTCCTCAATCTTTGTTGGTTTTTTTCTTGGATTTACTTAGTTTCTTGCTACATTTTTCATATGAATGGATGAATTTCTTGCTAATGCTTTTTAAGTATAAAATTTTTTGACGATTTCTCTCTTTTTTTAGCTAGAGCCGGCAGACCCTGATTTTTATAAGATAGGTTATGTTCGAAGTATGAGAGCTTATGGAATTGAATTTAAGGAAGGACCTGATGGTTTTGGAGTCTATGCTTCCAAAGATGTTGAACCACTTCGTCGTGCCAGGGTAAGATGCTTCATTTCAGATTTTTTATAGTTTTTTGCATATTTTGCTTATATGATCCTTGTTAGTGACTTGGTATCTGAAACCTCCCTGTGCTCTTGACTGAACAGGTTATCATGGAAATACCTTTAGAGTTAATGTTAACAATAAGGCAAAAGCTCCCATGGATGTTTTTCCCTGATATAGTGCCACTTGGCCATCCAATATTTGATATCATAAACTCAACCAATCCAGAGGTAGCTGCATTTTTCCCCGATATCAAATACTATTTCGCATTCCATTTTCCCATCTGGTTGATGTGCAAGCACACTGCTAAACTTCTAAAATGATTTTTAATTCCTGTACTTTTATTAAGTGAATGAATACATTGGATATGTTTTCGTGGCAGACAGATTGGGATCTGAGGTTAGCATGTCTTCTTTTGTATGCATTTGATAAGGATGACAATTTTTGGCAACTGTATGGTGACTTCTTACCCAGTGCAGATGAGTGCACTAGCTTGCTTCTAGCCACAGAGGTAGGTAAAATTGTTTACATTTAATCTTTCTATTCTATGATTTGGGGGTTAATTTACTGTCTTTTATCAGTCTCAAAACTCTTGTCTAGGCTTTGTTTAGGGTGGCTGTGGCTGTTGCTGTGGGAAAAAGTACTGTTAAAGCAGTCCCAAAAGGAAAAAGAAACTATTAAAATTCGATGATAATAAAATTGTTAATGGATGTTTTGGTCTTGTATTAATATTATAATGTCCGGAAATTATCGAACATAAGTGGTTTTAATCCCTAAAAATTTACCAAATGCAAAAATACCTAAAAGCACTGTGCATCTTTGGTAGAAAGTAATGTCCAAGCAATCCCAAATGCAGCCTTAATCTTGACGACCAAACAAGTTACATGCACTGGTATCAATAACAATATCCTTTGTCAAGTACATAAAAATGAGAGCTGTTACATGTATAGATAATGTGAATGTGATTGCTTTTTGTCTCCTAATGTATCTAACTTTTCATATTGCTCATCAAAACCTGCATCATGTGCTCTAGTTCATGCCCTGAATATTCTAGAATCTATAGTTAATGATAGATATTCTGGGGCTCCTGAAAGTATGGTTGAATTCATTGTTTAAGACTGCATCTTTGATATAGTTAAATTATTATTATTTTTGGTTTTTTTGTAAGTTATGTTTGATATAGCCTCAACTTGCTATATGCTGTTTCTAGAGTCATTTCAGTTTTCAAGTTTCTATGCTCATTACCTTTTGGCATAATTAACCTCCTTCCTTGTTCCCATTGGTTAATACATTTCATTTTATAGGAGGATCTTTCAGAGCTGCAGGATCCAGATCTTGCTTCAACAATGAGAAAACAACAAGAAAGAGTTATAGAATTTTGGGAAAAGAACTGGGTAAACACAAATTGTCTATATTATATAGCACCAAGAGTTTTTGTTAATCACTCTACCATTATTTAATCCAAAGAGTTCTCATTTTAATGCTCTTTTTATTTGTGTGTGTTTAACCTCACTCAGCACTCTGCTGTCCCCTTGAAAATAAAGCGCCTTGCTCGAGATCCTGAAAGGTTTATGTGGGCTGTTAGCATTGCACAATCTAGGTGCATCAACATGCAAATTAGGATTGGTGCACTGGTTCAAGATTCAAATATGCTAATTCCTTATGCTGGTAAATTTCATCCACCAAATCTCTTCAAATTTTAATCTAATAATTTTTAATTAGAATGGCCATGATCAAAACCAAAATCATGTAAGGCTTCTTAAGTTTTTTACATTTTTGTGTATTATTAAAATTTTTAATTGTCTTATTTCATACATGCTGTTCTGTAGTCTACTTCTTGGTCTGAAATTGTGTTGGCTTGTTTTAGTGTCATTTGATGAATGTTCATAGTAATTTTGATGAGTTTTGTTATACTTTTGTAGACATGCTAAACCATTCCTTTCAACCAAATTGTTTTCTTCATTGGCGTTTTAAGGATCGCATGCTTGAGGTGATGATAAATGCTGGGCAAAGGATCCAGAAAGGTGATGAGGTAGGTTAGATATGTTTTTTCTGGATTTTGATCCTGATGAATTATTAGAATGACAATTATTAGTCTACTTAAGCTTCGTTTGACAACACTTCTTGGTGCTTTACCTTTTGGTTTTTATATCTTTTTACTATTTTAAAATATATAAAATATTAATTAAAATAAATATTAAATATATAAAATATATTTTATATATTTTTAGGGTGTTAAAGGACCAAAAAACCTACAGCTACAGCTACAAATCAGCATTTTCAAACTAAGCCTTAACCTCCACATCTAACCATTATTAAGGATTTATCTTTTGAACTAAAAAATTGCTACACTTGTGCAAAACTTAGTGTCTCCTTTATCAGTCCTTATGTTATGTGTGGTTCATGGAAAAAAATGAAGGAAAGGAAAAGAAAAGATCAAATCAAAATAATTAAAGCTATGTGTATAGCTTACCCTCTTATTAATAAAGTATATTATTTGGATTTTTTAAATGAAATTGCATTAACAAATAAGATGAGAAAATATATTGTAGTTTTAAAATTATTTTCATTTTTACATTTCCAATCTTGACTTTTCCTTTACCTCTATATTTTCCATGCACAAAACAGACCTACTTGATTCAGTCATACAACTCCATACCCTGCTGAAAGATGGTGACTTTTTTAGTTAACCTTTTTTTTTTATCCTTTTTGATGTGATTGACCATTTCTACTTTTAATTTTCCAATATTTTAGCTTTGTCTCTAAAATATGTTGAGGCTTTTGTTTATGATTGAAAAAAGTAGTGATAGCACAGCCAGGCTTGGTCCAATTGAGTTGAACCCCACCCCAAATTATGTTATCATTTATAATGCCAAAGAATATAATATCTCTTAAAGTCATTAGCCAAAGTAGATCTCTTTTTCATTTAAATTTGATAATAATGTTCTAAGAATCCAATAAAATTTCAGATGACCATTAACTATATGAATGGGCAGAAGAATGATATGTTCATGCAGCGATATGGTTTCTCTTCATCTGTGGTAATTTCCTTTTATCTTCTCCCTCCAACTTAGATATCTGGAAAGATGGAAAAGAAAAATGGATTTTTGTTTCCATTACCAGCATTGAGTAACATGAAATGTAATATAATATTAATACAAATCTATAATTTCTTTGCTTTGCTTTCTTCTTTATCTTCTTCTTCTTCATTTTTTTTCTCTTTTTATTTTGTGCATAAATGTGTATCTAATTCTAAACCTGCCATTGTTCTGCCTGGTCTCCAATTCTGGTACAAAGAGCTTAGGAATTTATAATGTGTGGTTTGGAATTTTTGCTAAAGTATTCAGTAATATGTTCTAGTGGAGGCTTGATTGACTTAAACCTTGACACAAAACCATATAAAGCAGTCAAGAATATGATAATTCATTGATGAGGCATGACTGGCAAAAAACTTGGTTTGCCATATTGGGAAGAAGTCTTTTTAAAGTATGCTGCAATGTGGTCATTACTCATTAATATTTTGTCTCAATCAACACTAAAAGACAAATGATTGTTAAAAGAAAATGAAAGGAGAGCTATAGATTGGGAGCTTTGTGTGATACCCCATGCTACATTTGAAAGATGTAGAAATTATTATTGAAATCTGGAAAATATGTAAGCCAGCAAATACTTAACAACTTGAGCTTAAGCTTTGAGAGCTGCAAGAAGTTAGGCAGAAGGGCAAGGCCAGTGGTGTGCCTGGCTCATGACAACATGCAATTTGGATGCATGATTAGACACCAAAACATGGACTTGATATTTATAACATGTTGACAGTGAGGTATTATATAATCCCAGATGTATATCTAGCATGTTGTAGTTTATGGCATGATTGTTCAGGATTATATGTGAGCTACATATTCAAACATTTAAACTGATTATGGCACCAATTTCCTTATCTCCTAGTAAGTTAGATTATTACCGGCTCATTGCCTTGTACAAGCTTACTGGAAGTGACTTTTTTCCCCCTTTCTTCTACTTTGTCATCATATTTTTTTCCCTAAATATTAATATTTTGCAGAATCCTTGGGATGCAATTCATTTTTCTGGAAATGCAAAAATTCATTTGGATTCCTTTCTCTCAGTCTTCAACATATTTGGCCTTCCTGAAGAATATTATCACAACAGTATGCATTCTTATAACTTTTAAAACTACCTTTTTAATTAAGACTGCATAGTTTGGTCACTTGAACTTTATAACCCAGTGTGTGTATACAAATCTTAATCAGGTCAGCTATCCGGTGATGGAGATTCCTTTGTTGATGGGGCAGTCATAGCAGCAGCAAGAACATTGCCAACATGGTCAGATGGGGACTTGCCCCCGATCCCAAGCAAGGAAAAGAAAGCTGTGAAAGATTTACAGGAAGAATGCCAGCAGATGCTTGCACAATTTCCTACAACTTCTGGACAAGACCAGAAATTGCTAGGTAAGCTTGCACCATGTGGTACTTGAATGGTATCAATTACACAGTTAGAATTTCCATCCTGTGAGACTTATGGTAGAGTTGGGCAGGTTAACCTTTTATATGGATATTCACGGTTGACAACTGGTTTAAACTTAGCTTAAGGAGCCTCTTATAGTATAGGCTTTCTTTCCGGATATTTGATGCTAATAATTGAATTCTTCCTATTTTATCTCCACAGACTCTATGCCAGAAGCAAGGAAGACACTTGAAACTGCAATAAAGTATGTACTCTCTCACTTAAAATAGTTTTGTCAAAGCATATTAATTTTAATTCCCATGTAAAGTGAAAATCCACTTACCTTAGTATTACGTGGTTTAATAATATTGTGAACTCATGCAGATATAGATTGCATCGTAAGTTGTTCATTGAGAAGATCATCCAGGCCTTGGAGATTTATCAAGATCGTATATTGTTTTAAACATGGGATTCAACATGAGTGAATATGGTGTATGGTGTAACAATTTTGTTCACTAGCTAATGTTCCAGCTTCCAGAAAGATCACGATATTGGATCACTTTCTTCACACTCTTAATTGTCATAATCTGACAAGATCTTAAGTAGTTTATGGTAAAAAATTTGTATATCTTGCATTTGCTAGCTACCCTAGTTGTGCCATTTGGGTCGTATCTGATCCTTTTTCATTTTTCCCTTTTTTGTGTCTGTTCTTTTTATCAGCCATCTGTTCATTTTATCAGAATACGGATGACTAACAGGATTTTCTTTTCCATGCCTTTCTTGGAAAGAAAATGTCATGATTATAATGCAATGGAAATTTATAATTATGACATATTATCATATGATTGATTATTTTTATTCAAATGGTTATGTATATTATTATATGTATTTATTTATTTAATCATTATAATTTATAATTTTATGTAATATTGTAATTATATAATTTTTGTTCTTGGAACATCCAAATATTAAATTTTATGAACTTCTTGCTTTCTTGTGACTAACAGCTTTGGTGGTCAAGTTTAGTTAGTAATGGTGGTTATTTTTTGATTAAATTATAAAAATAAGGTAAATTTAAAAACTTTCTTAATAAAATCGGAATGGTTAAGATCTAATAGCACCCCAATTTGATCTTATGGTGACTTCTAAATTGTAAAAGCTTATACAACAGAACACCTAAAAAGACCTAAATAAACCTGCGTTCTTACAGCAATCTCTAATGTATACACTAAAGTTTAAAAGAGTGTAGACGTTCCTGTTCTATTTCTCTCTCTTCTCTAGAATTCTCCAGCTTCTTCTTACTAAACTCTTCACAAACATCAGCTTTTTTGGTGCTTGGAAGCCGTCAGGCTTCTCGAGTTTTTGATGCTTGGAAGCCCAACGGCTTTTCAAGCAAGGTGGAGCTGGCCTTTCATGCTCCCTTGTCTGTTGACCACCTTGAGTAGTCTATTGGTTCCTTTTGTGACTCTTCCGGTGGTCTTTTTCTTTTTTTTTACTGTTTTTTTGGTTTTTTTGTTTGTTTGCTCAAATTTAGTGATCAATAAGACAATAAAGCAAGTATTAGGCATTGGTCACTGGTTGCTTCAATTTCCTTGCCACGGCATCCTGGAGAGTGTGCTCATCTTCAAAAGTAGATGGAAAGACATCCAGTTTGTTTAGAACGATTGACCAAAAGAATTTGTGTAAATTTACATTGTCTTTTTTATTTGTCGTCGTTGAACTTGATATATTTTTAATTGTAATCTTTAGTTGCACTTTGTGTTCTAACATTTGTTTTTATTGTTTAGATAAAAAAAATATTTATGTAAATACCGTATGACATTGATCTTAATATATGAGTTCTCCTAAGTTCAAAAAAAAAAAAAAGGTTTAAAAGAGTGTACAGTGGAGCTTTATTCCATTGTTTTCCTTGGAGGGGCAAATAATAAAAAAAAAAAAAACAATTGCAGCGCATCACATACTGTCTCTGCAGCCAATTTGATTCCAACAGCATTTAAACCGTTAAATCAAAGAGGCTAAGTGCTAATCTTAAGTAGCCTTTTAGAAAACTCTGTTTGAATGTATATATTAGAAAGGAGGGATACAGGAGCACGAAAATTTAGGATGAAAATTTAAAACTAATAATATGGCATGTAAAGTGTTATTAAATTAATTAATATATATAATATTATAAATTTAAAAAAAATAAAAAAATTAATCATTAAGTAATATATGATCTATATTATTGATCTCAAATTTTAATTTTAATTTTTTATCTAATTTATTATTATTTATTAAAAAAGAAATGTTATGTGTAAATGCTAAGTATAGAAAAATATAAATTTATATAAAATAATATAAATTGTGGTAATATAATATTATAAGAATACCTAAAAATATTTTGACACAATATATGCTTTAAGGAATTTATTTGTTGTAATTATTAAAAGAATAATTTAATAGTTAAAATTTTAAGATTTCAAATTAAAGATATCAAATTTAAATATGTTCATTAAGATATACCAAAAAAAATTTGTTATTAAAATTAATATTATGTAGTTTAAACTACAACAAAATTTGTGTAGTTTTGGCTATAAAGATGTAACTTCGTTGAGTATATTTAGGGAAAATTGTTTTTTTTTTTTTTTATGATAATTTAGGAAAAGTGGTTAGAGAAGGAAAATTATTTTATTACATTGCTCACGCAATTGTAAAATAAAAATTACTTTTTTAGTTTTTCATTTTATTACTGTGTTATTTAAAAAAAAAAAAAAAAAAAAAATTGGGGCTCACCGTGCCTCTTATTTAGGCCCTGCCTGCCGCTCGTTGCCCTCTTTATATCTCCTGCTTCTTTGCTCTCCCTCTATTCTCTCCCATCAACGGTGAAGAAAAAGGACGGCTCTTTCCGGTACCTAACAAGTCTCTTCTTTGCCTCTCCCTCCCTTGAAAGATAATCTGAAACTGCTATCCACTAATTCTCTCTATGCATTTTAGAGTATTTTCTCTGTCTCCACCTGATTTTCAGTGCAATTTCTACTAATCTGGCCGCTTGCCGGTCATCTAAAGGTTTTATTACTCAAGAAATCACTTTGATTAGGCACTTTATTCTCTAAACTTATCGGGTTTTTTTTTGGTTTGGTTGTTTGTTTATCCTTGTAAGCATGAAGTTGTGGAAGAAGTCTTATTTGAGCAAATTTAGGTCCTGTTATGGCTCTATTTTGAAGTTTAAAGATTCAAAAATTCTCTCCTGTTCTCTGTGCTGTTTATTTTTTCGGGTTTAGGGGATTTTATTTTACTGCATTGATTTTGTTGGTTTTAACAGCTCTGGAAATTCTGAGTTTGTTATTTGCCTGTCTTAGCTGCCTTATGACGCTTTGCAAGGGGATTTAACCCTATTTTCTTTTACTAGAGATTCTTGTTTTGTTGGGTTTTAAATCTACTTTTGAATGATAACTGCATCTGGCAGGCAGCATGGCTTTTATTAATGAAATTATGAATGCTTTACTTTAAAACAATCCCTCTCTTGGTGGGATGGGGTGGGTGTGACTATGTGAGTTAGTTCAGTTCTAGGCCCATTTAAGACCCTTTTTGTTTTCCTTTTTGTTTGAGGAAATTGTTCTGTTTGATCAAGTATTTGTTGCCTGGAAATTGCCCTCGTTGGGAAATCTTTTTATATATCATTTTCTCAAGATGAGTGGGAATTTGTTTTATGATTTTCATAGTTTTAGTTTTTATGGTAGTTTCCATATGCCGGGAAAGTTTTGGCATTAACGATCAAAGTGCTGTCATTGCATTTTGAAGAAAAATATAGGATTTAGAGGATTTCAGCATGCGGATATTATTATATTCTTGTTGCTTTGGTCATACTAATAAAAATTTTCAATTCATTGTTTCCAAGCTTGTGTGTGATTAACAATTAATCATTAATATTGGTCTTTGTAAATCAGAAGACCCTTATATCATTTTTAGTTCTCAGAGAATGTAGCTAATTGGACTTTTTTTTGAGCAGTGGCGATGGAGGATGTTGGAATGCCCATTGGAGACAAACTCATACTCAGGGGTTTGAAATTCCATGGCTTTCATGGTGTGAAGGCTGAAGAAAGGAAACTGGGTCAGAAGTTCTTGATAGATGTAGATGCCTGGATGGATCTCAGGCTGGCTGGTAAATCTGACTGCTTGTCAGATACTATTAGCTACACCGAAATTTACCGGTAAGTGATATGTTGATCTTCATCTAAGGCACCTGAAATGCCACATATTATATCACTAGCTTATGAGAATTCAAATCTTATCATTGAATTGTCAATGTTCATTCATGGGGCTATGTTACTCCCTGAGAGAGTTTCTAACTAATACGTAAGAATTTCTCAAAATATGCTTTCATTTATGCAATTCTCTTTTTATCTTTTGGACTGGCAGTTGACAGCATTTTACAGAAACAAAAATCAAGTAGGTTTAAAATCTTAACATTGAATCGTTTATGTTCATATAATGCTTTTCTTTAGCTCCATAAGCCATCGGTGAGTATCTAATTATATATGTGAGAAAGAATTTCTCAAAATAGGAATTCTTTGATGCTGGTTTTCATCTTAACATTTGGACTGACCAATTGACAGCATTGTGAAGGAGGTTGTGGAAGGACCACCGCAAAATCTTCTAGAGTCTGTGGCTCAACTGATTGCATCAACAACGTTAACCAACTATCCCCAGATAAGTGCTGTTCGTGTGAAAGTTGGTAAGCCTCATGTTGCTGTTCAAGGTCCTCTTGACTACCTTGGTGTTGAGATTCTCAGACACAGAAGTCATGACGCTCCAAAGTAATCGTTCCATACATCACATGCGTGCGCATTGGCACCCACAATGTTGTATTTGTTACGTACTTCCCCCTTCATCATGGTGCGGTATATGTTATTTACACTGACTGGTGTTGGAAATCTACTAAACTCTTTCAAGAAATTTTACTACTTGGCTCTTGAAGACACATCTCTACATCACTTTTGCTTCCCTACCTACTTAGATTCCGTATTACCTGTGCCCTCTTGCCTATGTAAGAATGCAATTTAACACCCTGCATGAACTTCGCAACAATATCATAAAAGAGATGGGTTTTTTGTTCTAATGAAGCTCTCATGTGCAACTAATCCACGCTTTCAACTTTACATTGCCAAAGCCAATTTTCTATAAAAATTTTGCATATTGGGGCGAGTAGAGGCAATCCCTAAATTAACCTTGTGAAGATGATAAAATAGTTGCTGCCATCTGCACGGGCAGAGGGTTTTGCTTCATATTAACAACATTAATTAATTTTACCCATACTAATTGAGTGAAAAAAACCATTAAAAAATATATAAATTACAAAAAAAACTATTTTATGGTTGGACTATTTTAAATTTCAAAACGTGAATCTTAGGATGAGAAATGAGCCTTTTGAAATTGGGGATCTTTTACCATTTAAAAATTTTTATTTTGTAATTTAAAATAGTTTAGATTGTAAAACAAAAAAATCAAAATTATATAAAAAAATATACATTTATTTACGCACAACACATTACATTTTCATTAAATCTTGATTATTTATTTTTTTATTTACAACAATTGAGATTTATCATAAATTTTTTGATAAAAATAATTATTTGTAATAGATATAACAAAAAATAAAGAAATCTCAATTAATAAATAATCAAAATTTTATTTTATTATTATTATTATTATTATTATTTTAATAGATTTACAATTGAAGGTGGAAGGTTCGAACCACAGCCTAAGGTGCATTTTTACAAACCAAGTTATAATGGTTAGACCACAAGGATAAAGTGCAATCAAAATTTTATTTAAATATTATATATGATATTTATATATAAATATATTCTAACTCTATATAAAAAAATTTATAAGAGGTTTCGGCTATTGATTTTCCCGCATCCTAATTCCCAACCCCGAAATTCCACGGCCCACGGTCCACGGTCTACGGTCCCGGACTCCTCAATCCGGGTTTAGTTTAACGGCGTTAACTGGGCACTGCGTACTTAGCAAATTAGTTTCGGCTTCTTCGCCCCAAAATTTGCCCGTGTAAGTACAAGCATTGCATCCCCAAGCACGGGATTTCTTGACCAAAGCTTTCAAAATTTTCAAATTATTTTAGGTCTCAACAATTTGGTTTCCATTGAATGGCTAAATTTTGATGTGGGTTTGTGCAGATTTTTCTGACTGTATTTTGGTTTTG